GATTAACTATAAGTTACTATGTAGAAGCCATGACCTCCACATTAAGAAAAAAAAAAAAGGCCTCTGGGCTACCTCCTAATTCAGCATAGCCCTTACTCCCATCTAGCCCCCTCCTCAGGTCCAGGTCCCTTCTACTCCACATGGGAACCCACCTCTCGTATTCGTGGGTGCCAGATATGAGAGGTGTTCAGAGGCAGACTCCAGTTACCATAGATCTCCTCTGGGGGCAGAGATGGGGACAAATACATGTGAACAGGGAACAGAGACATAGGGAGAGAAGGTGCTGCCGTGAATGCATCCCGGTGTCTGAACTTGGGACAGTCTCCCAGACCTCCAGGCTTCTAGTCCCCCAACTCTCCAGCACAGACCCCAGAAGTGTGCTCACCTTCCGGGGGACATTTCCACTTCTCCAAAGCCAGGATGGCTTTGGCTGGGATCAGAAATGCAAAGGCACTAGCCTGGAACAGCGGCAGCCTGGAAGGGGAAGCACAGAATAGCAAGAGTGGGGGAGGGTGGGGGTGGGACATAAAGACAGTTGAGGCCAGGGGAGAGGGACACCAGAGAGAGGGGGAGAGAAAGAGTCACACAAAGGGACACAGACAGAGGGACAAGGGCAGGGGCATAGCAGAGGGCAGTCACTGAGGCCCCAGGCAGGACTCTATAACATCTTGGGAAACCAGGGAGGAAAACAAATGGAGCCCCTGGCCCACAGCCTGTCCCCTTTCTTTCTCAACACCAGCTCCTGCACTGTGAGGGGCCGCATGCCGAGAAGTGGACAACTTAGTTCTTGCATCCAAGCTCCACTCACACCCTTCCTCCCTCCTCTCACCACACAACCAACCATGTTTGGCCACCTGGGCCTAGGGTTGTGACAAGGGGGTGGGCCCCCCAGGAAGACAGACTATTGAAGAGGCCTGCACAAGCCCTTGAAGCAGGGAAGCAGGTGGTCCTCTTTACCCTGAATAGGGCTTAATCAGCTTGGTGAGCAGGCACCAGGGCTGGTCCTTGTCCAGCTAAGGCACATCCCCTTAAAAACACAGACTCCTAGTCCTTGAGGAGTGCCAGATGCCTGGGTAGGACCCCAGCTGCCTGGCTGTAAGGCTGTGCCTGGGAGAAGAAGCAGAAGGTGTGGGCAAATCCAGCTTTCTTTGTCCCTTGAGTCCTCTGAGACCACCTGCTTGTGCTGTGTGTCTGTGTGGGAGTGGGGCAGCTCACCGGATGCCCAGTGTGGTCTGGATGAGGGTGGTGATGCCCACGCAGGTGAAGATGGTGCCAATGAGCTGGCTGACCACATGCTGGTCACGGCCCACACACAGCGCCTCAGCCAGGAGGAAGGGCACGGCGATGGTGCCACTGAAGCATGTCAGGTAATGCTGGGGGGCGAGGGGGTGTGCATGAGACCCACAGGGCTTAGAGGGAAACAGGGACCCATAACAGTTCTCAAGCCAGCCTCATTGGGCCTGAAGCTATGCTGCCCTAGGAAACACACCCACCCAGAGTGGCCACTCCCACAGGGAATTCCCAGAGGGTTGCCGCTCACCTCTGGGGATTCCTAATCTGCCCCCAAGTTATTCCTGCATCTTCTGTGGAGCAGGCCCTCTTCCCTGTCACTGACACCCCGCCCGGCAGGTGACACTTGCTCCCAGGGGGTTAATCCTCTCTTGGGCACCGTAAGCCTCTTCCCCACCCCTGATTGCTGATGGTCACTGTTGCTGACCTTAGGTTTCTCTTCCTGTTACCCAAGATAACCTTGGTAGCCAGGGAGGGGGCAGGGATCCTGGGGAGTGTGCAGTGGGGAGACCCGTGGAGGAAGCCCACCTGGAAGCCCAGCAGGATGCACAGGTACCAGGGCGGCACATCCTCAATCTTGTACAGCATGTCAAACTTGGGTTCTGTGGGCAGGGACACGGGGGGGTCCCTCGTGGAGGTCCCTGCTAGGCCCAGGTCCTCATGCTGGGGACAGAAGAAAGCAAGTAACTCAGGGCGGAGAGGTGGACACTGGCAAAGTCAGTTCTGCCCAGAATCAGTCAGGTGCCTAAATGGCCTGCCAGCTCCTCAGAATGGGGTCTGAGCCTGGGGTCCTCACCTCCATCCCGGTCCATCCACCCAGTTGTCCCTGGGCCTGACTACTAGGCCCCCACCTCACATTGCTCTGTGCAGGCTGAGTCCACTGTGCAGGCCCCTGGAGCCCTCAGGACCCAGGCCTTCTAGCGAAGGGAATGGGCCCCTAAATCAGAAGTCCTGGGGCCAAGAAAGAAGGCTGGAGACTGGACAGGCCCTTTTGGGCCCAATCTGGCCCCACCTCTGCCCTTTGGAGGTCCTTGGGATGTCATTTTAAGGTAGGGGTAGGTTGTGCCCCTACTGGCCCTCAAGCTGAAGTCTTCTTCACCCCCACTGCCACCCCTTCCCCATCCCCCAATTGTCATGCTGAACCTGGGACAGTCGCTCAATCAAGTTTATCAGAAGCTTTGTCTCTGCCCTCCCAGGGAGAAGGCCTGTGCAGCCCTCCAACCCCCGCCCCACCCTGCCCCTACCCAGCTCCCACCCATCCCCCAGCACCTGTGTCTGGCCCTCGGGTTCCTCCTGGGCCCTCATCTTTGGGACACAGGTATGAGCAGTTCCTGAGGAGAAGAGGGGATGGCTATAGAAAGGCCAAGGAGGACTTTACTCCACATATCAGACATTGTTCAAAGTAAATCTGTAACCAGATCCCCAGCTCCGATCAAGATTGCGAAAGCAGGACCCATGTGGAGGTAATGTATTAACTCTGGTCACAGGGAGTGGCGAAGGCTGCCCAAGCCTCTGCCACATCCACCACCCGCACCTAAGCCTGGACATGAGACCTGTTCTTGTTTTCCAAGAGGGGGCCAGATTGGAGGTGAGGCGTGGACAGTTTGGAAGTTTACCAAGCTCTGGATGAAGCAACAGGAAAAAGAGTAGAAACAGCCATTGTTATGTTACCATCTGAATATTAATATCAAGTTAACCATTGTCGTCATAACCACTCTCATTATTGAGGAATAACTGTGTGCCAGGCAACATCTATGTGTTGTGTTTAAGCCCAAGTGCTAGGCAGTGCTAACCTCTTTTACAGCTCGGGAAACAGATTAAGAGATGTGATCCCACCAAGGCCACACAGGTAGCAAGATGACAGAAAACGATTGCTAAAATTCAGGCTGGCCCGAGCTCCCGCATTTATGCTGTATTGAATATAATGAGACAGTACCCTCCCCACCACCACTGCTCACCCCCTCAGGGTCACTGGGGCATACAACAGAAGGAGCTGCCAAGCCTGGCCCTGCCTTGCCTGTGCCCCAAGTCAGGGCCCAGTGAAAAATGAAAATGCAGTTCCGAAAGTACTATAAATTTTAAGACAGCAACAGCAGAACACTGGATAGTCCGGGGCCTTTCTAAGAACTGGGCCATGTGAGTGCAAGTCGCACAACTCCCGAAGCCAGCCCCGGGCTCAGCCTGTCTTTCCTTCCTGGCAGATCCAGCCCAGCCTGGCCGTGGGGCCTGGAGCTGGCTGAGAGGGACCTGGTGTCTGAGAGGCTAAGGCCCCCCAGCCGGTAGGGTCTAGGCCTAAGCTTCTGCTCCCCACAGTGCTGCCCCGGTCCCAGCCCTCCTAGGGCCCACCTACTTCTGGGTTGCTGTGCCCGTGGCCAGACCTGGGCCCGAGGGCTCACAGGCAGCACCGCTCTCCAGCTGGGAAACAGCTTCATGACAGCCCGGAGTCCGTCCTGGGCCTGTTCAGCCTCCAGGCTGTTCCTCCGTCCAACTGGCCTCTTCTCTCCCTTCTTGGCTTCTGCTCCCAGGTTCCCAAAGTCGTCTGACCAGTTTGAAGCTTCAGAGCTGCTCCTCAACACTTTCCTTCCACCCTCTCCTCCCCAGTACTGCCCAGGGGGCCGTGGAGGCAGAGCCCTACCTCTCCCTGTCCTCTAGACAATTCAGCTACACAGACAAGGCCTTGAAATTGTGCAGGGTCTCAGATACAGTCACACAAAGGACTCACAACACCCAGACTCAGACCCCACATGAACACAGGGCACATCACAGGCTCCCAACTCCATGCCTAATATGACTCAGCAGTTCCTTGGGCCCTGACTCCCATCCTGGTGCCTAGGGGTTCTCTTCTGGGGAGAGGGTCAGGGATGAGGGGCCTCAGGCAGGTCAGGAACAGGGGATAAATTGTAGGGGGCTGGGCTGCAGTGTAGCTCAGGGAAGCTGGAGAGTCAGGGTGAGCTTGGTGTACCCCTATTCCTCTAGGAATGACCTTTCCCCACCCCCCAAATCTCAATTTCCTCCCAACCCTTCCACTGCTCATCCTGGGACTTGTCCTGAGCCTCTTTTCCTGCCTAAGCCTTGGTTTCCGCATCTGTCACCTGGGGATTAGTGTCTGTTCTGTCCGCCTCCCAGGGCTTTGGAGGATCAGAGAGATACCCACTGAGGAAACTGCAAGTTGTAACATCACCTGACCCCAGGTTCCCAGACCCAGGTAGGCCCCAGGCAGGACCCTTGACTCTGTTTGCTAAGGGAAGAGCCCCAGGGCCAAACAATTTCTGGGGAGAGCAGGACTTCGAGCTGAGATGCTGAATCCAGCCCATTCCAGTAACCCTGCCCCACCTTCTTTCAGGCAGGCACCCAGGGCTCAGCCATGCCAGCTGGGGTCAGAGAGTGAGCAGCAGCTGGGCGTAGACCCAGTGAGACTGCCGTTCCGGGTGGGGCCCCAATAGCACCCAGTGGTTGCAGTAGGTGTGTCTACAAGGTGCCCTGCTTATGGAGTTTTCCACAGTTTTTCTTCTTCTTATGGTGGAGCTGGGGTTTCACCGTTTGCATAACCGGATCCATATGCCTTTGCTCACTGACATTCCCAAACACAACAGACCTCGCTCGCCTCTGGAAGACGATGGGAACTGTGTTTGGCCCTCTAGGGGGACATCAGCAGAAACACCAACCTCTGTCCTCCCAGCCCCTCAAGCACATTTTGCAGAGAGAAAGAATCGAGGTCCCTGAGTTTTATTTGAGTCCACAGGGGAAGGCCTGACCCCTCCCAGACCCCAGCGCCCCAAAGCCGGAGGAGGAGGGAGAGTGGCAGCCCAGAAGAGCAAGGCCTCCCTGCCCTCAAGCAGCCTGTAGAAAGGAGTCAGAGCAGATCCAGAAGAAGCCCCGCTGTCCTCAGGGGCTGACCCCAACGGGAAGGAGGAGTTGGACTAGAGCTCTGCCCTTGTGACTGGCACCTCCTCTGAGCAGGCCCCCCTGGGGCCTCCACACAGCAATGCCTTCAGAGCCTCTTGGCCTTGTTGGTGGGCTTCATAGATCTGGTCTTCTCCAAACTCCCCCAGGTAGTGCAGACATGTCACAGAGAGCCTAGGGGATTCCAACGGGAGCGTCAGACTCTGCCAGCCCATAGGGGCAGACTAAGGTTCCCAGGGTTCCATCCTGCCTCCCTGCTCCCATCATACCTGATGGGCCAGGGGCCCCCTGTGATCATCACACTGATGTGTGGCTCTGGCCCATTGCTAAGTCCTGGGCCCGTGAGACGTTTCACCTGGTTCACTTCTCGAACCCCGTAGCTGGAGGAGAGAGACACAGCATTAGTGAGGGCCTGGTCAGTGGGGGACCTGTCTGTACATGAAGCTGGCACACTGGACCTTTGCTGAGTTCAGTGCCCAGATTCTGAACCTCCCTGATGGAAAACTGAGGACCAGAGAGCGGAAGCTCCTGGCCCCATGACCTTGTTGCTTGGGCACCTACCCTTCGACTTGCTCCCAGCTCCAGGACTCAGACTTGGTCCCAACTGACCCTCTACCTTGACCAGAGCCCTAGTGGAGTGTGTGTGAGAGGGAGAGTGGGGACCTCCACCCACCAAGTCCTGCTCCTGGAGGAAAGAAGGGACCAAACTTTCAACTCACTCCTGCCAGGCCTGGGAGCAGCTCTTGTCCAGGACATCTGTGTAAACCGACTCGCTCAGCTCCTGATGCCCCCTGTGGGTGTGAAGCTTGGCCTCTGCCTTTGCCAGATGTTGCCCCATCTGGAACAAGGAGGAGCTGAGAGTCAGGGCTTAGGGACCGCTCAGTGTGGGGGAGAAAACAGGAGCCTGGATCTCTGGGGGAGAATGAGGTGGCAAGGGAGACTTCGGAGCAGGAAGCACCTGTGAGGCAGGCCTCAGGGTCCTCCCCCAGGTCCTGAAAGCTGGGACTGGACCAGCTGAGGCAGGATCCACTTTCCTGGGATGGGGTGGGTGGGTGGAAAACACTGGGGTGGAAGTTTAGACCAGGGCACAGGGTCCCTCCCCCAGAGCGCACCTGCCCATCAGCCCATGCTATTTTAAACCACAAGGAAAGAAAAAAAAACAAAAACCCCAGCCCATTCTTCAGTGACACGTGTACGTATAGGTCCCTTCCCCACCCCCACACCCCACAGAGGTACTCAGGTAGGCTTGACAGGCTTGTGTGTGAACACAGACATACACACACTCACACTCGTATATCTATGCACTCAGAATACATGCACACATACACCAGCACTCCTCGGTCTTATTTTAGGAAGGAGTCCAGACCGGAACATGGGCCTGGAACTGGAAGAGCCTGAGACCACAAGGTGGTGACTCCCTGGGACCTCGAGATACTGCGGGGTATCCCAGATTTCCAGTCTCCTTTGGACAGACAAATGTGTAAACTGAGGCACGGAGGTTCAGATGAGGCAAAGATGGCAATATCATGGAAGGCTGAGCCCAGTTGGATGGCTGGAAGTGGGGTTTGGGCATCAAAGGCAAGTGGTGGCATCTGAGGTAGATGGAGGGGTCTGGCTTAAGGAGGCCTGGACAGGGGAACCGCTCCAGCAAGGGACTCACCTGGTAGGCCACCGCCCTGCAGGCATCACAGCGAAAGTGCGCAGGCATGTGAGCTGAGAACTTCTCCTCATCATCCAGCTGTGGGGCAGTGGCCGTGAGTGGAGCACTGTCCCCGAGGCCCCCTGGGATAGCCCAGGCCCCCAGCAGCAGCAGTAGCAGTGGCAGTGACAGCCTCATGGTTCGTGGAGCCAGCTCGGTGAGCATGGGCTGTGGTCAGGATGCAGATGTACGAGTGTGCGGTGGGGGCCTCCCCAGAGCACCTGGCCCAGACCAATGGGGAACCGACACCTCAACCCTCCCATTTTCTCCCTTTCGCCCAGAGGTGCACCTCCTCTGGTGGGACACCGGCACCAGCCAACTGAGCTCCATTTCTTGGGTAGGGGACAATGAGGCAAGGAGAGTGGCTGGGCCTGGGCAAGATACATGGGGCTGACACTTCCCAAGTCCTGGGATCTGGCTGTGTGGCAGGCTCTGTGCTGAGCACTTCCCAGGAGGGGGGTGGTTGGCTACTGTAATCTTTATTCTACCACAGACACATGAAGGCTCGGAGAGAAGTGACAAATCCAAGGCCATGCATCTAGAGGGGCCGTGCTGAAATTGGAGCCCAGACCCTGTTGACCCCAAAGCCTACTGGCTACTGAGCCGTCAGGAGGAACAATGCCACAGGCATGGTTGCCAGCCTAGGGGTCCCTCCCTGGGAGGCAAACTCACTGAGGCAGGGATACCACAATATATGAAAGACATACACGATCTCCTTCCCTAAGCCCTAGTGTCATGCCCAGGCATGAAAGGGCATGGGTGGGGGGGTGTTAAAGGGCCACAGCAGGAAATCAGACACCTTACACCAGTTGTTCCAGCCATCAGAGCCCGTTGGGTCAGAGATTTATTGCTCACCAGGATGAGGTGACAAGCCCAAGGCCCTCCATGTTATGGAAACAGCATCTCTGGCCATGAAAAGATGTCCAGCTTTTTCTGGCTCATAGTTCTCACAGTCAGCTTCCAGTTCAAGGCAGGGGCAGGGACTCCGAGGGCCCCTGGTCTCCCAAGGGCATGAAACTTAATGAAGGCATCCATCTCCGCCCTGAATACTGCTTCTAACAGGCACTCTTCTTCCCCAAACTCATCACGTCACATACCTGTGCAGCAAGGTCCGGGCACTTCAAGCTCAGAACTCACACAGACCCCCGCACAGAGCACCTTCCACTTAACTCCATGCATCTTCCTCTGCCCTCCTCAGCGGCTGCTGGAACCTCAGGGCAGCTGGAACGCATGCTCTGGGCCCGTCCCTTACTATGCTGTGAGCAGCATGCAGAGCCAGCGCCTCTCAGCGTGGTTGTCACATCTGTGCTGGGGGAGTGAAACCAGCTGAGGGCTCTAAGTTCTCTCTGGCCACCCCCACACAGAAGCGTCCCTTCTACTGTCTGCCCTATCCCACTCTCTGCTCCACCCAGAGGGGTCAGGAGGCTCCTCTGGAAGAACTGTTCAACCATTTTCCTGCTTGTAAGTCCTTCCTGATGACTCACTTCATCTGCTCCCTACTCAGGGTGGGAATGGCTGAAGCCCCCATCCCTGGCCCCAGGATGAGCCAGCTCAGCTCTGAAGGCTTAGAGAAGCCAAGTCAGAAGCCGGGGTTGATGGGGGAATACAGGGTGGGGCCCCCAGCTAAGGACTATAGCCACTTTCTCACTTGCCTCCAAGTACCCCATAGCACCTCCTGTACTACTTCCCTGCTCCACCTCCACCTGCTGTCCCCACAGCTCCCTTTCTCGGACACAGCCTGACCTGGCTGCACTGGCCACTTCCCCTCACAGCTTCCCAGGCCAAGGCTTAGATTTTCTTCCAAAGCATAACAGATTGATGGCCAGAGTCTTTCTCCCTCCATCCCACTGTTGCTCACTAGCCTGCTCCACTTCAGCTGGGCCCACCTTCAGGGAGGAACAGACAACTACTACCTCTGCGGGCAGCCCTGTCCCCTGCTGCTCCCAATTCCTGCTGTTCCTAGCGAACACCAACACCCCCTCAGCCTGGCTCCTGGGGACAGGTCCCAAGACTTCTCTCTTTCCCACGCGCACACACACACACCACACTCTGGGAATGCTTGGGAAAGGGGTACACAACGCTGTTGTGGAAGGAAGGCAGTCACTTCCTGAACTCCAGCTCCATCAGCTCCCGGGGCTCAGTTACATTCTCTGAAGGTAACTTCCGGTCTGAGGACTAGATGAGATGGACAAAAAAGGTGACAGAAGACGGGCAGGTGACTGGATGCCTGAACCTTTCAAGGCCATCAATAGGCCTCAACACCATGCGGATCAGGTCCTGGGGGCCTCACACAGGGAACAAGGAGCCCTTACTGGCCTGGGCAGGACCCGGACCCAAGCTGGTAGAAGGAGCACAGAGGAACAGAGGGGGTGCAGGGCTGGGGGTCCCACTCACGGGCAGGTAGTACATCCCGTCCAGGGACCCCGCCTCCGAAGCCCAGGGTAGCTGGGTGCCGCTGAAGGGTGGCGGGCCCGGGGATGGCGGCAATGAGAGGCCAGGGATAGGCCCATAGGCGGGCGGGTAGAGGCTGGGGTTTAGGGCCAGCGGGGTGTAGATGCGTCGGGGTAGCCCCGGGGGCGAGGGCGGCAGAAGCACCTCCACGTACTGCCCGCTCTCAGGGTCAAAGAGCAGCCGCAGCCGAGGCTGCCGCGGCGCCTCCACGAAGTAGTAGCGGCCACTCTCAGGGTCCACCAGGACCTTCCCCGTGCGCGCGGCCCCAGGTGGCCTGCGTGACCCCGGGGAGGGGCCGTCAGGGGACCGGTCCATCGGAGGAGCAGAGGCTGCACGGGGCTGGGGCGGAGCCTTTATGCCAGCCAATGCCTGGGGCTCCCGCAGGACAGGCACCTGGGTCGTAGTCGCAGGCTCGGGGGCCAAAGGGGGAGTCTCCAATTTGGGTGCTCTCCCCGGACTCGAGCTAGGGTGCACCTGAGGGGAGCTGGGGCGGGGTGGTCCAGACGGTTGGACCCCTGCTGGCCCTATGGACGGCTGTTGGGGTAAGGTGCGAGCTCCACCTAGGGGGCTGGTCGGACCCTCACCATCCGGAACAAGGCGCTGGGCCTCGGTAACCGGGTTTCCCCCTCCAGAACAGCGCACCAGGACTCCCCTGGTTTCCTCTGGCCGGCGGCCCAATGCCAGGGCACCAGGCAGGCGGATCTCAGTGCGCGCGAAGGGTTTCGCCGTGCTGTTCTCTGCCCTTCGCCGCAGGACCCCGTTGGGCTGAGAAGCGTCCCGGGGGGCTGTGTTGGGGGATGGTTCTGGGGACTCGTAGGGGTGCGATACCACAGGTAGAAAGTCCTTGAGATAAACAGAGGTGTAGTGAGCCGGGGCGGGGGTCCCCGGCACCTGGAGCTCTTGCGTCTTGGATGCACCACCCTCTTCCCGGCGGGAATCCGCAGGAGGCGCAGGCAGCCCTGAGCCTGGGATTCCCGCCGGGAAGCTCGGCGCGTATGTGGTTTTCACCATTTTGCGCACGTCGCGGGGCCGTGGAATAGCCACACGCGGGCGTTCCGGAGCCGCTTCTCCAGGGCCCAAGGCTTCTGGGCGCGCATCCGAATCCACGGTGGCCACGAGGCGACTGAAGGGCGGGTCGGGTGCAGCCACCTCTGGCGACCGCTGACCGCGTCGGGAGGCAAGACCCAGCATCTCCCGCGTGGAAGGACTCCCAGCCTCCGTTAGCTCTGGAGTCCTGGGTGAGGATGGCGTAGGCGGCGCCAGCTTCCCCTGGACCACGCCGTTCACGGCTTCCCGCATAGAGACTACCGATGAACTCTGCACTGTGGGATCCCACGTCTCTTGGGGCGAAGGGCTCCACGTCCCAACAGGACCAGCTGGAGCCTCCCCTGAGATCAAGGCCGGCGGGGATGGGCTCCTGCTCCTCTCTACTGTAGCTCCGATTTCGGGATGTGGAACCTCCCACCGCGAAGGGGCCTCCGGGGACGGGCTTCTTGCCCTGGCAACACCCGGATTCCACGGAGAAAGGGTCAGAGGGGAAGAGCTTTTTCTGCTGACAGTTTCCTCGACGGTGGGATCCTGATTTTCCCACGCGGAGTATGCCTCGGGGAAGGACGGGCTACTCACCTTCCGAATAGCCCGATCCCACGGGGGCAGGTTCTGCGGGGCCAGGCAGTGAGAACCCCGCACGGCTCCATTTGGAGCCTGCCCCAGCGAGGACGGGCTCCTCGGCCTCACAGCCTTACTTGGAACTTCCCGGGGGTCCCTGGATTCGAAAGGCGGACTCTGTGGCCTCAGAATGGTTCGATCCGGAGTCTCTCCTGGGAACCTAGTCTTGGGTTCCTGGTTCTGCGTCTCCTGGGTCTTCTCCACTGACTGCAGGAAGATGCTGGAACTAACCGGACCCAGTGGCTCGGTCCCGGGAGCGGGCTTGTCGCGCCGAATCGCGCGTTCACGGAGGCTGGGCCACGGCCGTGGGGCCCTGGCAGGGGCTGAATTATATTGCAGTCGGGGTGGCCGAGACCTGCCATCCTCCTGGACCATTCGGGTACTGCTGTCCGTTTTTCGAGTCTCGGGCTCTGGTTGATCCGTGGGCCCGAAGGTGGCGCTGCTCGGGGCAGGAGCCACGGGGTTCAGTTTTCTGGCCAGCGCCGCCTGCACGATGCCCGCGGCGGCCTGCAGGCGGCCCAGGGACTCGTCCAGGGAGCCGGTACGCAGGAACAGTCGGGGGCGCGGCGCGCAGGCCTCCCGCGGGGGACTCCGAGGCCGGGGGCGCAACTCGATCTGACGCTTGGGCACCGTCCGGGGCCTGGCGGGCGCCGCACGCTCCTCCAGCGCCACCTCCACACATTCGAACTGCGCAGGGGTGGCGGGACCCGGCCCACGGGGCCGCAGCTCCAGGTAGGTAGCCCAGCGGGAGCCACCGTCGGGGGACTGGGGCTGTGGTGCGGCGGGGGAGGGAGACCTGGGCCCTGGTGGAGAGAGGCTTCGGAAAGCCCGCGCTGTGATCTGTTGCACCTCACCATCCGCGGAGTCGGAGGGGCTGAACAGGGCCCCCGCGCCGAAGATGACTTCCATTTCCCCCGACGGCAGCATGCGCAGCTGGGGCTGGGGCGGCCGCGGGCCTGAGCCCGGGCCTCGCGGGAAACCCGAGCCGGGCGGGAGCTGCTGGAGGCTATTCTGGGCGCTGACGGACAGGCGAGGCTGCGCCACCGCCCCCAGCGCAGGGGCCACCCGGGGCCAATTCGCCCGGCCCTGTGCGTCCGGCCCAATGTCCGGGGGCTCTGGAGAACCCGGAGCCGTGTGGTAGGAGCCTGACGAACCGGAGGAGTCCTGGCGCTGCGCGGGGGCCGAGGGTAGTTGACCTGTGAGCCCGGGCAGGGCTGGCGGGGCGAGCGCGATCAGCATGGTGGGGCCGGACACCGCTCACTACCTCCCTCGCACTCGCCTCTGCTGCTGCTGCGGACGCCCGCACTGTCCCCGCCCCGCCCGCGGATGCCATGGGGTCACTGCTCCTTAAAGTGGCCGCGGCCGCTCGCGACCCAGCGGTGTCGCCAGCAGGAGACCTGGACCCTGGGCCTTACCCTCCCAAGCCCCTTCTCCGGCGCGGCTTGGACCGCCGGGGTAGCACTCCAGGTTTTGGCGGACAGGAAGGTGAGGGGAGGAAACCGAGGTTGATGGGGAGGCCCGTCTGAGGTCAAGCACAGTGCATGTGGATCCGTGTGTGAGCCAGGGGCACAGACTTTCAGGCCGGGCAACTCAGGTCTTGCCAGCAATTTTGTCTTCCCCTCAACCCTCAGTGGCTTCCCATCACAGCAGGGCACCCCTGCTCCCTGACTCTGTCATCCCATCCCAGTTGGAGCTCCTAAGAGTGCACCCACTTTCCTTGACCAGTCAACTCCAATTGCGTGGAGGACTCCCCTTCCCCCCACCCCCACTCCAAAAGTTGTGCTTGGGACCCAGGAAGCTGCTGTCCCTGGCTAGGCCCACTGCCTTTAGTGGGAACTTACTGGAAGGAATTGCAGTGGACAGGTCTTGTATAGGCTGCTTGGGCAACCAGAGCAAGTCCGGGATGCTGATGTGGACTCTCTTAGGAACACTTTGGGTTGCCATGGAAAGTCCCACTGAGGCAGGCATCGCTCTGTGCTCCCCCAGGTACTCACAAGGCCCTCATTCAGCCCCCACCACTTCAGCACTAGCTCTGGGGACAGGCACTGGTGGGTAAGGAGCCACCATTTGTAAGTGTTCTGGGGCAATGACAACGGGCACTATTTGCCCTAATACTTCTGACTTCTAGGTCCTGCATGATTCAGTCTCAGTGGGCCCTGCAGCACTGCTCCCTCCTCTGCACTTACTTTCACACTGACCCAGGAAAAGCTAGACTTGAGGAATCTGACTCAGTCTCCCTAGTGGGTCCCCTGCCAGGATGAGTCCCTGTGATCACCGAGCTGTCAAGTGATGACTTCTGAGAGGATGAAGCCTGCCACGGCCCCTCACAGACTGTTTCCCCACCTTAAAAAGAGACATGGCATTCTCCCTTTCCCTCCTCCCATTTGTGAACACTGATGAGTTTCTGTTTGGGGGAAGAGTTAAGAAGGTGCACATGTAATTCACAATATAACATTTTTGTTTTGTGGTGATTTCCCAAACTGTGGTCCAGGAACCCACTGTCTTCGAGGTCTCTGGTCAGGGCTTTCTCTCTCCCTCTCTCTTCTCTCCCCCTCACACACAGGGCTGTTTATATAGGTAGGGATTAAATACCGACTAAGAAAGGACAGTGCCCACTAGACAACAAAGCAGTCCTCCCCTAGGCTGCAACCCCATAATCCCATGGACCCCTGGCAGGTGGTGCTCCAAGGCCTGTTCCCCACTCAGTCCCTGATAACTTAATTCTCACATCACCAAGGCCCAGGAGGCAGGCAGGCAGGAAGGAGTGTCTTCTCTTAACCTGTCCCTTTCCTGGGGGCCAGGCCACTGGTAAGTCTTCAGGGGGTACCCACAGGGGTAGGAAGGACCAGGATGGGGATCCCCACAGCACAGAAGGCAGAGCTCAGGTTACAAACAGAAAGCAGACAACCATTTTTATTTTCCCCTGGGGTGCTGGTGGCTCCATGCCTGACGTGTCCCCAAGGCTTTCTTATGCTTCTGGTCTAGCACCTGGGCCATGTAGTTCTCCTGCTGCCTCTGGATCCGGAAGTCAGACATGTGATTCCTGCAAGGAGCCAGCTGGGCGTGGGCTGGGGACAGCCCCAGTAGGGGCCAGAAGTCTGGCTCTCATATCCATTAACAACCCCCAGCCTGTCCATGACCCCTCACCTGAAGATCTGTTTCTGATGGCTGATAACTTGCTGCAATTCCTTAATCTCATTCTCTTTGCCATTAAGTATATCTTCTTGCTTTATAATGTGAGACTCAATTTCTGTGGGGGAGAGAGGCAGGGAGGAGGTGGTTCCATCCCACGGGCCCCTTCCTGAGACAAGATATTCCATCGTGGGTCTTTTCAGAGCTTGGCTCCTGCCACCCAGAGGTTCTCTATGAGTAGCTGCTAATACTTTAGTAAGAATGAGTTTATTATGGAGTCTTGATGAGGTGGTAGGGACACAAAGTCTGATAAATGTGTCAGTGACTTCACAACTCTATTCTGGACCAGGTGACTCACAGGAGGGCAGGCAAAGGCCCTTGGAGAGAGGTGGCAGCCCTGCCCAAAGGCAGAAGAATGAATGGCTCCTGGCCTCATCTCCCGCAGATCTTTGCACACGTCGCCTCTTTAGTGAGACTCTCCCTAGTCTAAAATTATAACCCTTTCCAATACTTCCTGTCTCTTTCTCCTGCTTCACTTTCCTTTGTAACATGTATATATAACATACCATGTATTTTGCTCATTTACCTTCTCCCTGAGGATGCAAGGACAAGGATTTTTGTTTTATTCATGGTTTTAACCCTAAGGCCTAAAATAGTATCTGGCACATAATAGGTGCACGATACATTTATGGAATGAACAAACAGGATGTCCCCTGGAGGTTTTGGACTTAGAAACATCACCTAGTTCGGTCATCTCAATCCAATTAGACCTCCTGAGGGCCAGCCAGGTGTGTCCAGCCCTTGGCAGGGTCCCTGCCATTGAGGCAACAGCTCCTTAAAGGAGTGTTAAGATTCAGGAACCGATCAGAGGACAGAACAAGGTGACATTTCAATGAATGTTGGTGGAACAGTATTACCATTTTGGGCAAGTTGCCTCCTTTTCAGACCAGTGTCATTCATTTCTATAGATGTGGGCAGAGACAGCCCCTGCAGGGTGGGGAGGACCCAGGGAAATTAATGGTTGCAAAGCTCACCGGCTAGTTAAGGCTCATTAGATGCCAGGATGATTTTTGTGACTTGGGTCAGAATCCAGTGAGGCTGTAGGGACCTGCGGGGTGCTTCATTTACATAACTGTCTCTCAGGAAGCCCTGGAAAATTCTGATCCTCACAGGAAGAAAATCCCACTGCCTTTAAATGTTAGACACAGAGTAACTAAAACAGAAGCTCTGAAAATACAGAAACGCTGAAGCATTCAAGGTTTCAGAAGAGACGGCCTGGTAACAAGTTAAGGCACAGCATAGAAAAGAGGAGGCACAGGTGAAGGAGGGGAAGGAAGACATGAGCTCATGGGGTCTCGGGCCCCGGACAATCAGCACTCCTTCCCCTGGTCATGCAGCTAATCCAGACTCACTGCTTGTGAAGTTCTCTTGACAAAAAGCATCAGAAATTTGTGTGAATCTTTTAAAGTAAATGAGATAAATATAAAATAAAGGGCACCCAGTGAGGGAATGGTTAGAAAAGCCCTTTGAAAAGATTCAGGAACTGTGCACGTAAAACCAAACTGAAACTACACAAAGGAAGAGGCAGTGGGGAGGCGCAGACCAGGAGGAGGCCAGGGGGCGGCAGTTCGGGTCACCAGATCTGCTCAGGTGAGGGCTCCTGCCCCACTGGAGGGATTCGGGACATTCTGGAAGGAGGTAGCCAGGCTCCATCCCTGTGACTCACACACACCTTCCAGCCCTGGGCCTTGGCTAATCTCTAGGAAATGCCCTAAAGGAAGGATGGCTTTTCCTAGCACTGCCAGGGAAGTGAGGGTGGGGGATGTCCAGAGAAAGGGAAAGGACTAGGGACCAGTGTCCTGGGTATGAAGGCAGTGACTGCCTATTGGGCCCCAGGAGGCCCTAATGGGAGCCCTTGATCAAATAACCATGAGGCCTGTCAGGTCACCTGGCCAGATCAAGATGGCAGCCTGCTGGCAACTTACCAGTGAGAATACTCACCAAGGGAGAGAGAAGTCTGGATTGGAAGGTAGAGGGCACCCAAAGCTCCAGGTAGGGCCCATCAAGAGAGACTTTTTGAACCTCTTTGGGGCTTGAGCTCTGGGCTCTGGCCTATTCAAAATCTGCTGCAGTGAATGAAGCAGATGTTGTATATGGAATTCATACCTACTTCTTAAAATATGTATAAAAAAAAATATGGGAGTTTAGCATCCTGGGAAAATGAAAATGGGCAGCTGATTGAAAGTGCCCCGCAACTCACGGCACCAGCTGAGCTAAGTGGCTACATGCATCTGCATGGAGCAGAGCTGAAAACTAATGGCCCACAGGCATACTTTATTTGGCCCATACAATATTTTTAAAATTTCTAAATCACCCTGGCTGATATGACTGAGTGGACTGAGTGCTGGACTGTGAGCAAAGGGTCACAGGTTCAATTCCCAGTCAGGGCACAGGCCTGGGTTGCAGGCCAGGGTGACACGTGAAAGACATCCACACATTGATGTTTCTCTCTCTCTCATTCTCCCTCCCTCCCCCTCTCTAAAAATAAATAAATAAAACTCTGCCTTCATTCTTAAAAATAAAATAAAATTTCTAAATCAGTTGCCACCACTAAAAAGTCAGAAAACCTTCCATTAAAACCGGTTTCTTTTTTAAAGCTCTGACAGGCCCTGGCTGTTGTGCCTTAGTGAATTGAGTGCCAGCCTGTCAACCAAATGGTCCCCGGTTCAATTCCCAGTCAGGGCACATACCTGGGTTGCGGGCCAGGTCCCCAGTAGGGGGCGTGTGAGAGGCAACCACATATTGATGATTCTTTCCCTTGTTCTCCTTCCCTTCCCCTCAAAAAAATAAATAAATAAAAAATAAAATCTTTACAGCTCTGACAGTACTGGACCCCTATTTCCACAGCAGAGTAGCTAAGCCCTCGCGAGGGCCCGTCTCTCCGCATCACCACAGTCCCCACTCTGCCCTACTAATCCCCACCCGGAAACTAGGGATCAGCTCCCAAGTAGTACTGTGCTTGCTCTGTTGTTTCTCTTTTAACAGAGTTATGAACAAAGTATACTAGTTCTAATATCCATCAAAAGAGGGAAAACAAAAGGTGGACTAAGAAAGGTTGTATGTTTCAAGAAAAATGGGAGCAAGCCCGTTCCTTTATGGCCATGAAGAATATTGTACACCAACTGCTTTCCTCATTTCCGTGGCCTGCCTGGTCCCTGAAGGCCTTTGCGAAGCTGTGGCCCACCTGGGCCTGCCTGTATCCTCATCCGGGAACAGAAGTTGGGATGAAACCCTGCCCTGGACATGGGCATGGAGCAGTTAGGGATGAGCCCGTGTATATAAGCGTGGGAAGGAGCACGGGCCTCCCGCCTACCATTGCACTTGGTGATGAGCTGGTCCTTCTTACTGGACTCCTGCAGGGCTCTGCTCTTGACAGTGGAGAGCCTGGGTGGAAAACATAAGAAAGGGTGGGAAGACTGACAGGCAGATGGGACCCCTAACCTTCCCTCCTACCAAAGCCCACTTACGCCTTTTCAAAGGCCAGCTTCTCTTTCTCCAGCTGTTTAGACAGCACTTCTACCTCTCCGAGGGCAAACTGCAACTTCTCCTCTTCCTTAGTCAGGAGGACCTTGGTCTTGGCATGAGCAGCTTTCTCGTCCTGCAGGGGCAACACCAGTAACCTCATTACCCCAACCACGTTGGATCTCCTAGGCTCCCTCAACCAGCCCCCTTACTCAAAGGGCCACACAGAAGCCAGGGCACGGAAAGATTCTGTCCTCATTACTGAGGCTGGAGGCTCTCAGAAGCCAATACTCAATGACTCTGCTCAACCACAGAGATCCTGGGACATGGGGTAAGATTAGGAGCCTGCAGAGGCCATTACTCACCACCAGCTTCTTTTCCAGTGCCTGGAACTCTTCTTTACTGACAAAATTTTCATCCTGGAGAACCATCTGCAATAGACACTGGCTCAGGAAGGGCCTGGGGCTGGGGTGTCCTCAGGGACCAGGAGCAAGGATGGATAATGGGATGATGCCCATGGCATCCAGGATGAGGTTGGGGCCCTGGGAAGGGAGAATTCGGTTCCACAAGATTCACTGAGGCTCAGCTCTAGGTCCTGCCCTCAAGGAGCAACCAGTCTTATAGAGGAGATAGCCCACAGCCAGAACTTGTAACATGGTGTGTACTACGATGGAGAAGCACAAAGTGGTGTTCAGAGGAGGGTCCTGACCCTAAGGAAGGGTCAGAACTGCTTCAGGAGAAAGGGACATCAAATCAGACCTGAGATCTGCCTGCTATGTAGGGGTGGGCCAGAAGAGGGGTGGAAGAGAAAAGTGTTCTAAAAGAGAAAACTGTGAGAAAAAGGCCAGGGATGGAGCATGCCTCTTAAAGAAACGAAGAGGAAGAGTTGGGTACCTTCAGGTAACTGAAGGTAATTCAATGCTTAGGGCTGCATATACAGCCATTAGAATGAGAAAGAAAGGTAAATCATCTTATTTCTGAGATAAAGTTATCTCCCACCTTTTTATCAAGATAGAAAACAAAAACAAAATAACCATGAACTCTACCTGGCCAGGATTTTAGCATGCCTGTCCAGATAATCTAGGGCTCCAAGCTTTGCTCCCATGAATTGGGGTTTGACTGAGAAAGCAAAAGCAAAGGGACATAAAGGGGTCAGAAACCAAAGCCCTTAAATTATCGTGTGCAAGGTTCAAATCTGTGCTTACTGCACTCAGCGTGGCAGACACTTCATTAGACACTGGGGAGATGATGTCCCTATTTGGAAGGATGCCTGAACCAGAGGGTCTTGGGAAGTCAGTGAAGTCATCCCCAACTAGATATGGGGAAAATGAGGCTCAATGAATAGAGACATATCTACCGGGCCCTGCACAAACAGGCAAAGAGAGTAGAGAACAACTTGATTTAAATTAAAATTCCCTTGTAAAATATTCATGAAATTCTTCCCCTTTGGCTCCACCCCCACAAGCCGTAACACATCTAGGCCCCGCCTCCTGGTGACGCTATTGGTAATGGGCTCTCGGCACGCCCCTTGCTTCCGTACAGGGTCTGGCCCCTACCCCACCATTTAGGCGGCCTCTCCCTCAGCTCTTTTGGCTGCGTACCACGTTCCTCAGCTGATGGATCAGTTCCTCCTGAGATTCAATCACGTCCCGCAGTTGATCGAAGGCGAGACACACCGACCCTGACCCCCCCTGCGACCACCCGGCGGGCGTCGCCATCTTTTGCCCCCGCCAGCCCGTTGGAAATGGCTGCCGCTGAGTCGCTCACCACATCGCCCACCAATGAAGATGAGACGCCACAGAGCACCCTGGCAACCGGGGGCGGGGACTTTAGCTGTTAGCCGGGATAGGACGGCCTCTTAAAGGAGTCGCCCGGGGAATTTAAAACCCTTAGGAATTGAAGTTTATAGAGAATTTGCCCATCTGTATTATCTTGTGTTTCTCACGCAGTCCTGAGGAGCAGGCGGGGACGGGCTAATATTGACATTTCCTTCATGAGCCAGTGAACAGGCAACACATCCGCCCTCAGCCTCCTCCCAGAAACTGCAAGACCGTGAAGCAAGAGCCATTTAAAGCAGCACCTGTATCTTTAGCTTCACACGCCTCTCTCCCACCCTAATCTCTAAATATACCACAGAGTATGAGACTCCAGCCTCCTGTGTTCTCTCTTCCTCCTACAACATATGCAGTACTTAGGAGGCCCTAACTTAAGAAATGAAGGCGAGGCTGAAGAATAGAAAAGGAGAGTGGTCTCATCCAAGATGAGTCCTGGTAATCTGGTACCAGGCTCTTTGCAGCCAAATGGAGCCAAATGCGACCGTATCAGTGCTGCGGAGGGCACTGAAGAAGAGTCCGAAGAGATGGGAATTGAAGTGGAGCATGAAGGAGACTTCTAAAACGGGTAGGGAAGGGTAAAGTGATCACACATCTTCACCAAATCCCTATCTCCCTTTGTTTTGAAACCCAGTTAAGATCAAGCTTAGGGAATATCAGAGCTAATATTGATCGAGTATTCACTATTTCATGGCACAATTATGACACATTAGTATTATTTCACTTGCTCTTCATAATAACCTTGGGAAGTAGATTCTAATGTCCACATTTTACAGATGAGGAAATGCGGGTTCTCTAGAGTGAATAACTCGCCCAAAGTCACCCAAGCTACTAAACTTTGGAACAGTTTTCAGGTGGGCAGTTTGATTCCAGATTCCATATTCTTAAAAAAAATTAATTTATTTTTAGAGAGAGGGGAAGGGAGGGAGAAAGAGAGGGAGAGAAACATCAGTGTGAGAGAGAAACACCATTGGCTGCATCTTGTACATGTCCTGACCAGGGACGGACAGGCAACCTAGCCATGTGCCCTCACTGGGAACAGACCCAACGACCTTTTGCCCAACCAACTGAGCCCACACTGGAGTTCACGTTCTTAACCATGATGTTTTGCTGCATTTTTGTTGAACATAATAGATACTGAAGATATGGAAGCAGGAAATGACTATATTAAGGAGTTAGCAAAAAATATTATCATTGTCCAGGAGGGAAGCTGAGAGTTTAGGTAAGCCACTCAGGATGCTCCCCAGGGCTCCCGAGGGGTCTGTTTTTTTGGCTGGATTTTGTGACCTGACAAACATGGTCATTCCTGTGGGGCTGTCAGTGATAGCCCTTGTTTTATCTTCCCTTGTTGCTTGTGTCTGTTCTCGTGTCCTTGAGAGCAAGGCTATTTCCGGCAGCCAGTCTAAAAGGGCCCCAGAGTATACTGTTCACTAGGACTTCTGTGATGGAAATGCTCGTCTGCACTGTCCAGTACTGCAGCCACTGGCTAATGTGGGCTATTTGGACCTTGAAACATGGCTCATGTAACTAAGGAATTGCTTTTTAAATTTTTAAAAACTTTAAAATTTACATTAAAATAGCTTTATGTGACCCTGACTGGTATGGCTCAGAGAGTTGGGAGTTGTCCTGAAAACTGAAAGGTCATGGGTTCGATTCCTGGTCAGGGCACACGCCTGGGTTGTAGGCTACGTCTCTGGTTGGGGGCATGCAAGAGGCAAATGATCAATGTTTCTCCAGCACATCGATGTTTCTTTCCCTCTTTCTGTCTCCCTTCCCCTCTCTCTAAAAATAAATAAATAAAATATTTAAAAAATAAATAAATAGCCTTATGTGGCTACTGGCTACTGTTTTGGACAGCGTATGAGGGCCTAGAGGATGCAGTTATACAGGTTGTGTGCCTCAGCACAGAGCTTTCTTGGAACTTTGTCCATCAAATATGAATGTTCACCTGAATCACCCTGGACAAAGCTGCACATTCCTCTGGGGCAGTGATCCCTGAATCTTCCCTTGAACTCTGTCCCCTCTGTAGGGTTTTTCATGAGGGGCTGCTTGGTATCTCTTGCCATTCACCATTTACCTCCACCAGCTGGAACAGGCTACCTTGTACACTTAGGGGAAAGCCCTGGAGCACAGTTAGCTCCAGCAGCCGGTTCCCTGGGGATAGACAGTAATGAGCAAGAGAGAATGCTGGATATCAGCATAGTGATGGGGACAGTCAGCTTGGTTGGGGACTACCACAGACTCCCGCTCTCTAGGTCAACAAACATGAGCTCCTGGCCAATCAGGGCTCAGTGGGGTGGGATGACAGGGCATCACAATGAGCTCTGTGATCCTGCCTGAGAAAGAGTGGCTTTCTTCACAGGGTTATCATCATGATTGATCTGGTTTTCTATTGCTGTATAACACATCACCCAAAATTTATACCTTAAAAAAAGTCAGTTTGCTCAGGAATTTTTCAATTTGGGCAGAGTTCAATAGTGAAAGCTCATCTCTGCTCCATGTAGTATCAGCTGGTATGGTTGTTGAGGGAAGGAGGGAGGCTAGAAGTTCCACCACCAAGATAGCTCCCTCACAGAACTAGCAAATTGGTGCTGTCAGCTGGGAGCTCATCTGAGACTGAGGACCAACGGTCTTGTTCCTCTCCATGGACTTGGTGACAGGATTCAAGAGAAAGTATTAAAACTGACAGGAAATGGAAGATGCCAAGTTTCTTGAGGCCTGGGCCTCAAAAGCAGCATAGTGTCATTTCTGCTGTATTCCATTGATTAAGGAGCCATAGAGTCCAGCTTCCAGGAGAGTGAACACATCCCACCTTTTGATGGGAGGAGTTTCAGTTTGGGCTACACATCCAGAGGAAGTCCTGAAAGATGGCATATCATTCCCTTCAGGATTCAGCTTGAATAAAACTAGACTGGAACTTAGACTAGTAGGGGACACAGGCAATAATCAAACACTTAAATCTCAAGCTAAGTCATTATTCAAATAAATAGCATTATAGTTATGACAGGTGCTAAGAAAGAAAGGAATGAGAGTATTTTACAAGGAGATTTAACCCAGTCTAGGGTAAAGGGAAGGCTTCTGTGAGAGTGATTTGTGAGCTGGAACCTAGGAAGATTATTAGGGGCACTTAGTGAAGAGGGGAGGAGGGCCAGGTGAGTGGGAAAGGGCTCCAGAAAGAGGGAGCAGTACACATCAAGTCCCTGGGTTAGCAGAGCGTAGTCGTGAAAATGCTGGTAGGCAGAAAAGAAAAGGATGTACAGGGCAAGCAGGGGTAGAGGCCAGAAACTTGGTAGAGCCTTATTAAGTATTAGGCCATGCTGAGGACTTTGGTAATTATTTTGGGGGCAAAAGAAAGCTACTGAAATATTTTAAGCCAGAGGGTGATGTGATATAATTTATGCTGTGAAATGATCTGTCTAGTTGCAGTAAGGTGTGCATGCTGGCGGGGCTGGAAGTCGATGTACAGAGACTACTTATACTCGTGAGGCTACTGAAAGTTTTTATCGGAGGAAGATGATAGTTTAGGCAGATGGTGTCAGAGGAGATGGAGAGTGTAGATGGATTTAGGATGTTCTGGAGGTAAAACTGTCGGGACTTAGCAGTGATGGAGGGGATGTGGTGAAAAGGCTGTTTTGGTAGTTTATTGCTGCAGACTACCACAAAATGTAATTAATGACTTAACACGACAACCATTTTATTATTTGCTCATGAGTCTGCAGTTCGAAGAGGGCTTGTTGGGACAGCTAATTTTTGCTCTGTCCAATCAGCTGGCATAAATAGCTCATATGTCCATGATCTTAGTTCTTTCTGCTAGCTCAGTCATTTGGTTCTCCTTTGCATACCTTCTTCATGTGGTTAGCTTGGTGGTCTCGGGGAGCTTGGACTCACATGGCAGCTGGCTTCCCTTAAGTGTAAAAATGGAAGCTGCTAGCTTTGCCACATTCTATGGATTAAAGATCAAAGGCCAGCCCAGATCAGAAAGTGAACCACGCAAGGGGTTGAATATTAGCTGTGATCCATTGTGGGACAGCAGATCAAATCTGCCAGTTTCCTGGGCTTCTAGCTTTTGTATTTGGCTGGATGATGATACTATTTATGGAAATGGGAGCACTCAAGACGTGTTTCTCCCATTTTCTCCATTAAAAAAATAAATTGCCGTACTCTGTGAGAAGGGTGGCTATACTCCAGGTTTCTCTTCCTTAGAGTTGCTTTCACTGATCCCTCATAATGGATTAAATCTCTTTGTTATATATTCCCGAGGTTCCCTTGGTATCCCCTTTGATATTCACCCTCTGGGGAGCATTGTCAAAAGTTAGGTTCCCCATTAGAAGTGAGCTCCAGGAGCCTTGGTGCTGGTCTCGCTTGTTCCTGATTCCCATCCCAGAAGCTCAGCTCACCTGACGTGTGTAAATCTCTGTTGAATTGAATCTCAACTCAATCTTTCTCCAAATGACAGGGTAGTCTGACCAGTTGGGCTCTGGAGAACCCAACTGAAACATACACTGTTTCTTTTAACCAAAAAGTTTCCTAAATACAGGCCATTAGGGACAAAGCCGGCAAGGAACTGAAATAACAGCTGATTTTCAGATGCTAAGTAGTTTTGACCTGTCCACTGGCTGTAATATACTGCAGCCACTGTTTTCTGATAGAAAGCACAGAACTAGTGATGGCACCAAGGCAACCTGTTCCCACTGAAGGATGAGAGAGGACCGGGGAAGAGGTTTTCTAGTCTTCAGTGGCTCTGAAGGAGTCAGGTAATATGTGGTGCCCAAGGGTGCCATGGGCAAAGGTAAAAGGACAAAGGAAAAACATAAAGCCATTTTTTAAATATAAAATCATTTAATTTCTTTCTGGGCTAAAATACACTCAGTCCAGATGCAGATCAGGTGACCAGATTTTTCAGGATTTGGACTCCTCCAGGAGCTGATTC